ACACAATCAACCAATATCAAGACCTATCTTATTGATAAGAGGAGAATCATTTTATTAACTTGAAGACACATCTTTCTGTTGTGCATCATCATGTTAGACGATAGTATAAAATGTGACCGCACGCAGTCATAGGAGTTTTTCAACTTCTTCCACGTAAATGATAAGTAATTTCTGCTTGCTATTTGATCACAAGATGACCTACTAGGTATCAAAATTGACAGCCATTTTATCTCTATATTAACTTTTCGGGACAGGTGTGCTCCTTCCTTATCAAAGAAAGAAGGCATTTTCTCACTTCAAGACAGTACTCAATGATGGTGAGAAAAAATAAAAAATAAAAACATTTTACCCTTTCACCGCAAAGCTTCCTCTAGATAGTCCTCCAACGAAGGACTCAAGCTTTCTATGGAATTTCTTTAGTGTTCACCTAACATGGCACTGAGACAAAGAAATTTTTTGTTAGCTTTTCTATAAGTAAACATCATATGGCCGCCATTTGGACAAATATGAGACAAGTCCATGTGATAGTGAAGCACGTTATTAGCTATAATGCGCCAAGAAAATAAAAGTTTTGAAGAGTTATCCAACAAGAAATGAAGTTTAAGTAATTACGCAATCAGCATTACCGTGTCCAGTGTCGAAGGTATGCTCCAACAAGACAAATAATCTAATTTTGGTTTGATAATTTGCATCAAATGGTCTAATTTCCAAGTTTTAAATGCCTCACGTACTCCAATGAATTTTGAAGAAAACATCCATTTACATCGCGTAAAACAAAAAATTTTCCATTTTCTGATGACTACAAAAACACACTCATGATAACCTTGATGTTCTAATTGACTATAAACTTAACCAGTAAACAATGATCAATTCAACAGTAACAGTAAAGCCAAATTTCAACAAATACATCATAAATATCATTTTTTTCTCGGTATTAACTAAAGTGAATCAATTACAAATGCAAAGAAATTTCGAAGTTGTTGCAATTTATGGCTGGAACTAAGCAAATAGAGAATAGGTAATATTAGTTCTGCTATTCAAGTGAAAAAAAAATATCAAGTAAAAAAATAGAATTACTTACCATTGTTGGATGAATTCTTGGTAATAATGGCCAGTTTCTGCAGAAATTGGAGTGAGGAAGCAGAATTTTTGTTCGCTTTGAAACGACATATGTTTCTGTAAGAGGGAAACCGGAAAAGTAGCCGAGCGGAATTTGTAACCAGACTGCCTAGAAACGCGGACCTAAACTCCCTGGACCCACTCAATTATTGGCCCAGCCCAAAAACAATAGCCCGGCACTATTGACAAGAGCATTGAAACGGACAGGTGCTTCGCCGGACAAAATACGCCGTTACACAAAATCATGGTCATTCTCTATTTGACGCTAAATTTTTCAAAAAGCTACGTTAGGGTGCGTTGTTTAAGCCCTCGATGCAGTTTTTCTCGTATAATCCTTGGTTGTCATAATTTTGACAGATTTGATTCTTGGTGGTACAACCATTTATGCTCTTTTTTTATTGTTTACTTTTATTAATGGAATTTTAATAGATTTTAGACTCCACGGAAAATTAGTTTTCTTATTTCTTTGATTTCATATTATTCTTTTCAAAAGTTAGTCGAGAGATCATTTCCATGAAAATCCTGAATCTGCTCTCTTAAAATTAATTCTAATTAAAACATCACACTAACTAGATATTTAGTAGCCTATTATAATTCTTCAATCCAGATTTAATGATTGATTTCTATACTTTTACTTTTCGTACTATTTGTCTCTCATGCTTCTCCTATTTCCTCTTCCTGCACTTTCTTTAATGCCAGGGACTAAAATGTACATAGTCAAATTAAATTATCAAAGTGTAAAATAGACAAAACCAATTTAATATTCTAATCACATATAAAAATTATGGTTGGCCAAAAAATAAGTTATCCGTTATTAAACATTATAATTAAAAAATTGACACCAATGTCTTTGCAAATTTATGTTAGGTTAGACACATGTTAATTTAAACTACATCAATGACTAAAATATATATAGTCAAATTAAATTATCAAAGTGTAAAATAGGTAAAAAAAACAATTTAATATTGCATAAAAATTATGGTTGGCTAAAAAATATGTTATCCGTTATTAAACATTATAATTAAAAAATTGACACCAATGTCTTTGCAAATTTCGTTAGATTAGACATGTGTTAATTTAAACTACATCAACATCACGTAAAAAAATCTCTATTGTTTTCGAAAAACATACAACAGGATCATCATCATTGTATATATATATATATTGTTGGGGTTTTTTTGTGCCAGCCTCAATTAAAAAAAAAATTGAAACAAAAGGATTTTTATGATATGGTTGGAATGTGATCTCGCAAGACAATTTATCTTTTAGACTCTCAATTAGACTACAAAAATAATTAAGTAAATAAATTTATCTAGATATCAAGATATTAACAAAAACAATATCTCTATTTAAAACATAAATTAACTCACAATAGCTAACTTCAATAAGTTTATAATTACTGAATACAAAGTTGAATGAAAATAAAGTTTGTAAATATTAAATTAAAAATCTTTATAAACAATATTGATCCTTGAAGCATAAATAACACTTACTCTAGAAGCAAAAGGATAAAAACTTATAGACGTTGTAACTTCGAACAAACTCCAAACTTCGAGAGACAGAATTTATGTGTATTATGATGAAAGTAGCAATCAAATCAAGAACAATGTAGCAACTTACTTGCTTACTCCTTATAATTTATAGCCTATCGTGTCTCGAGTGTTTGAACTCGAAAAATAAAATTGATAATTTACAAGAGTATTGTATTGTAATTGATTGTATTGTTCGTTATGTGTTGTGTGTGTAGTCGCAACTCGATATTTATAATCATTTGAATTTTTTACATTCTTTTATACCATACACATTCTTGAATTGCAATAACTTTTCTTCTTAGATTGCAATGCTCCATGTTCATAACATTTCATATATTTTTTTTAACATCCCACCCATTCATTGCGACATATCATCTTTTTTATTTTCGATTTTAGTTACTTAGCTCTGTCAATCCACTTTTATACATACAGTATTTGTTTTTCCATGTCTTTCCGTCCGCATTGTCATCTCGTTAAAAGTTATATGAAAGGCTTATGTGGGCTTATCTGAATTTCATCTAGTGGATTGAGCTTTAAGTATAATAATAACTTTCGAGTCTTTATGATCGAAGCATTATTAAGCCCTAATTAATTTAACTCGGGTTGACGAGTTCTAATTAAATTTAGGTATAACATATATGTAAATTCCAATATGTAGGATTTATATCATAATCATAAATATTAAAATTGAAATGAAAATCACTTGAAGCTTATTTTCATAAGAAACTATGTAGGCAGAGTAAATTTGTATGGTTGTCAGTTTGTAACCGTTCTTGCTTTTTAGATGGGTAAACTTCAACTTTCTTTCCTTTGATGATAAAAGCCTTCTCATTGTATGCATACACAAAATTTTAACCATTTGCATTACGTAGTTAATATCCTCACATTTCTTCTCATGGTTGATGGAAACATATTACTGCTACTGCAAGTAGCTTAATATCCATCCACAATCATCACCAATATAATTGGCTTTCTAAGCTAAGAATTTCTCCATGAATTGGTAGCATATCAACATCTCTATTAATATCAAGCAGATGAGAAATTGAGGCAAGTCAATAGAATCGAAAGGTATTTCCCCATGTTTATTATTATTAAAATGATTAATATTTTTGTCTAGAAGGGTGCATGTCTTCCTTGCGGTGCCGTATTCACTGATGCTCTGTCTCCAAAGCCAACCATAGCTAAAAATGGTATTACCTCACACGAGAGACTTTTCATGAGCGATGTTAGTTTCTTTTCAACACCTTCATCTCTGTGTTTTCTTCTTTCCAGCAATTGATACATTCATTCAAACTGCATGACCTGAATTATTTGAGCAATCCTTTTCCTTCATTCAATTTTGGTTTTAGGTAAGCTTCACACACTTCATGTAACAACAAACCAGATAAATTAAGGGCTAAAAGTATAGGAGGAGGAGGAGAATCAACGGTGTTGGGTCCATGAATGGGACCTGTGATAATGATTTCGCATTACTGTTCATAACCATTTCAAGGACAGCTCCATGATCCGCCACAAATTGTTCCCATGAACAGATTTGTTGGTCAGGAAATGTGACGCATTACCACTTCCGCTTGGCCCCTGTAGCTCCACGGCGACTGAAAGGGAAAGATCCAAGAACCAAATTGCAGCCTCATGAAAAAAATTACATATGATACAAATGTAACATCAAGAATTTCATCACCGACCAAAGCTCTCTTTTCCTTGCATAAAGAATAAGACAAATCAAGAAAAAGAAAAAAATAAAGCAAACATAGTTAACCACCAAGTCGGTTGTTTGAATCCAAAAGCAAATAGTTGTGGTTTCTTGCAACTTGCAGCAACATCTTGTCGAATTCAACAGCATCTCAACACACTACATTTATTTGAGGCCAAAGAAAATTACAAGAAGCTGTTAACTACTGAATTGAATGCATAATTCAAAAATTAGTTGAGAGCCAAAAAAAAAAAAAAATCTAGTAACCTTTTGAGACAAATCATGATAAGGACTACCAGACTCTGTCCAAGCTTTGCTGCAACCTAACGAACGAACATGGAAAAGAAAATAAGAAGAAAGGATGTACAAATGGAGAAATTGACATCAAGGGTTAGAAACATCAGAAACAAGATATTTTCCACTGGTACAGTACTTTGTAGTTCCACTATCCTGTCACAATTGCAAGAAACGCAGGTGAAGATTATCGCCTAATGGCATTTCAAAGGACCCATTGACACAAATTAGATTACCGACTAACAATATGACCATGGAAACCTGCTACCACAATGAATCGATCATCGTTGAAGAATTACGTGGTGGTGGTGGTTATGATGACGGTGATGGTCAGCAATGCAACACCTGTTCAATTTCTCTACTTAGGACTTGTGACTTGAACCCAAATAACCCAAGCGCTCAGCTAATGCATTAACATCTTCGTCTTCGTCTCCTCCAGTACTCTCATTTAGCAGTTCTTCCCAAAATCCATCATCTAGTTCTCTATCTTCACTTTCTGGTGGCTCTAGCTCTTCTACTGCATCCTCTGGCTCTCTCTTTGCCTTACCATACCCTTGCATTTCCAATGCAAGTGCTTCCAGCTCTGACACTTCAAATCCATAGTCTCCGTACTCTAAAGGCTCTGCTTTGATGGAGTTTGCACTTTCACCAACATGGCTTGGTTCACCACCACCACTTCTACTATTTCTTTGATCAATAGGCCTTCTCCTCTTTTTAGTCATTGCTTCCTCAAGTTCTTTTCTCTTCTCCTTCTGTTGGACTAGCTGCTGTAAAAAGGCTGGGTTTTGCATAGCTCTAGCTAAGAATCGCATCATTTGCTGCTGCTTTTGTTCTGACCCTTGTAGCCTTTTTTCCATAGCTTGTATATAGGATCTAGTATTCTGTTGTTGTTGTCTAAGTTTCACTAATTCCATCAATAAAACATGCTTGTCACGTTTCAAGCGATCGATTTCTCCATCTAATCCAAAACGACCAACTTCAACACAAAAATCTGGAGCTTGCTGTTGAGGAAGAGGCTGAGAAGGTGCCTTTCTTCTCTTTATATTCTTCAGAAGATGCTTTTGACCCCTTAGAAATCCTTCATTGGCAAACTCCCATCTATCTGGATCAATCTTTCTAAAACCCTGTTAAAAAAAAATAAAAAATAAAAATTCCGCATGTAGTATCGAATATCAATCATCAATTCCCACCAATTATTTGAAATTATAAAATTGCATCTCAACACAGACTCAAAAAAGAAGACTACTTGAAAATTTTACTTTGACAGACTGTCCCATTAATGTCTACTGATGAGAGAGACTGTGTTCAATTAAAACGTTCCTGCTCTTCGTGAATAGAGCAATCAAACTCTGAAACAGAATGCAGAATTTTGGGTTTTTGGTTTTTGTGTCAAAAGTAGAAATAATTTAAGGTCCCGAACCCAGAAAGGACCATTGGAGGTATGTATAAATAAATAAACAAAGACGACGACAAACTGCACCACAGGCTACAGTGGAAAATAAAAATATAAAATAACCATAGAAAATGCCTCCAACGAACATTCCACAAAAAAAGAATTCAAAATAAATCAAAAGCTCTGGTAAGTTCCATGTGATATTCCAGAACAATCTTCTCAGCGGCACTGTTCTGTGGGCACAAATTTAATTTAATTTAATTTTTTTTTTGTTGGGGATATCAAGAATCCATGTTTGGTCAAATGACGCAAAACTATCAAATCTGCTTATTTCAATAAAATGGACAGTGAAAAATAGATAGAATTTTTTTTTCCCGAAAAAGAAAGAAGGGAAGATTGAGGTGAGTATCAAAACACTTACATAGGTATTGAGCTGCCTGACAAAGCTGGAGAAATTATTATGCTTGAAGTATCTAGGGAGGAGATTTGTGGAGAAAGAATGAGGATCCCAAACAACAAAGCTAGAACTTCCTCTGCTCCAGGAAACTATGTGATTGCTCATTGGGTCATCTACCATGTCAAAAGTCTTAATCAGGAATGGAGGTGGTCCTGCATCATGTAAACCTTCCCTTGGCTGTGGTGGTAGCACAACTGGAGGCGGCTCATCACCGCCGGACATTGGCGATGAACTTGATCCCACATACTCTTGCTTCACTGTGAAATATGGTCTCATGATTGCGAATCGATTCACTGATTCGGTTCTTATATTAGTTTGATGATAAAAGAATTACATGCTCCACTGTCGGTTCAAGATTGTTGATAACACTGGCTACGGTCAAAATTCAAACTCTGGATGCAGAGCAGATGGGATTTAGAGAATGTTTTTGAAAAAAAAATGAAAACTAGCAAAGAAAGAGTTCAAGAAAGGAAGAGAAGTACTGGGTCTGCTTACACTAAAATTAGAAAAAAAAAAGTTTTAGTCAAGAAAAACAGAGGAGACTGCTGCTGCCTTTAGCTGAAAAGGGAATTCAAAGCAAGGTAAAGGAGAGAAGGGTTCTATATAAAGGGGGAAAAAAACAAGAGAGAGAGAGAGAGAAATTGTGAGGAAAAAAACAGTACAAAAATAAATGCATTGGAAGATATTTTTAGTGATGAAAACAGCAACACTGTTTCTTTGTTTTGGGAAAGGAAGTCGTTTATGTCGTTACAAGGTTGGTGTCTTGGTGACACCTATAGGCAGAGAAGAAAGCATGGAGTATCTAAAGATATAAGTAGGGGTAACGAGTATTATTATAAAAATGATTTGGAAAGTTCTAGAGGTCTTGGGTGCAAAATTGTTTTTTAAATAAAAAGATCTAGCCCATTTCTTCATTTGGCAAGTGGTGGGGGAGAGAGAAAAGGGTCCTCTAGGAAACTTCTGGAACTTGCAAAGGGTAAGGACCGAGGAGGGCACGGTGGAGGTGTGGCTGGGGACCCATCATGTGTAAAATATGCAGTGGTTTTTTTGTATCTAAGATTTCAATAGTTCTATGAAATATGATTAGAGGAGAGCGGTGACTTGTTGACCCTACTAATTATTGGCTAGCGTCATTGAAAATCACTTGTAGATTGAACCGCAATCACAAAAATTATGCAAGGGTTGTGACATAGAGGATGAAATAACCATGGGTTTTTATCAGGCTTGGTTGGTAGGGGGAAGAAATTGTGGGGTACTAGCTAGAAGATAATCTACCCTCAAGGAATCCTCGTGTGCATTAGTATGAAATCTTGCTTTGAAGAAAAATCTTGCACTTTTAAAAAGGTGACAAATTTGCATATGAATGGTAGAACAAAACAAAAGAAGGGCATGAGATAAGGTTGTCTTCGAAATGCTCTTGGTGGTAAATTTCTTTATTAGAGTAAAAAGATAAGAAAAAGAGAGAGAGATTGATTAGCTATGAAATAAACAACTGTAACCTCGATGGATAGGAGGAGCTGACTTATAGATTTTTTGTGCTTTCTTAATCAGTAATCAATAAAATAGTACTTATGATTTATTTTATATGGAAAAAAAAATCAATACGACCTTTCCCCTGCATTGTGTTTGGATATTTGCTTTTAGGAGAAAAGCAAAGAGAGAAAAGAAATATATAAAAAAAGATAATTAATTTTCACTTATTGTTTGAATAAGAGTAAAAATAAAAAAATATATATTTTTTTTGTTTGAATAATTATAGAAAGAGAAAGAAAAAATATTATTATATATTTATTATAATAACTTCTATTATTATATTTTTATATTTAAATACTTTAAAGGGTAAAAATAACAATACCCTTTATTTTTTATCTTTTATTATATTTTGACATGATTTTATCTCATTTTCCTCTCAATTTTGAGAGAAAAATGGATCCCATAACTTTTAAATTTGTTCATTAGTTTATTTTCTTTTCATAGGTTTCTTTTGAAAACAAAACAAGTTAAAATTTTCTTTCATTAATACTTTTCTTGCTTTCTTTTTCCTAGCTTTTTGCTCTATCAAAATATAGGCTAGTTTTCCAAAGAATTGGAGAGAGAAAATATTTTTCATTTGTATCATCCTTTGTTTAATGATTTTTTGTCCTTTGTTAATGCATAACGGATAAAATAATCCTTGTAATTTATTTTACGTGCAAAAAATCCAAAACTTGTTTCTTTTTGTACCTTTCTATACATTTCCTTTTGACCCGTGTTTACTCTCTCAATGAAAATCAAGGGGCAATACAACAATCCAAATAATAATACTAATAATAATAATAATAATAAGCAATATACGTGTCGTTCAAATACGATGCCACGCTATATATACTTCCATAATCGGACAAGGCGACAGTGTTTAGTTCTGATTGGCAGATTGTTACGCCCGAAAAATATCAGCATTCACTAGCTTTGGGGCTTACACCCAAAAAATATCAGGAGTCACTAGCGATCATTTTATAAAATAAGGATTTCTTATCTTTCTACCCTAACTAATCAGAGAGCTGGTATTTTAATTTCTCTTCGTAATCAAGCATCTGCAGCAGCATTAGGTGGCAATCTAACAAGAAGCCAGTCTGTCCTTCTTATCCATTATCTCGACAAATGTTTGACTAAGATCGGATATATGATAAACTCAATCCGAGGTGTTGTTACTCTTTTCGAGCAAACAAGTGGAGCAAAGTTTCAATTGGATAGAGGCATTGAGCAAACACTACATGACGGACGGTGGCGTTCTAGAACCAATCGCCCTCTGTACCCTTTCTGCAACTTGCACTGATCATTTATTTACATATAGTGCAAAAAGAATATTATTTTATGTCTTCATGAATAAAATAAATTTATTCCCGCATGTTCTCAGAAGATAAAGGACCCCAATTATTGTGATATAGTATTAAAAAATTTGTTCCTATAGACCTTCTACAAGCTTCTTGAACGTACTAGAGTTCTGCAGGGTTTCTAGATGAACAAATTAATAATCCTAATTAAAAATTAATTCTTATTCCTGATAATTTATTTTCTCTTAAACAAGGGAATTAATAACTAATTACTCTCTTCTTCTTCTTTTTTTCTTTTTCATTCTATTGATCAACTCTGGAGGAGAACAAATTTATTGCAATCCCGATTGTTATCTGTTTTTTAACATAACAATTTCCCATTTGAGCATGCCAAAAAAATAACATTAGAAATGCGTTTTTTTTTTCAAAAAAATTTGCGGAAAATAATTGGATGACCCAAGAAATTGATGTGTGACTCACCGAAGGAGCAAAAGTTTAATCTCTAAGAATCAATATCATATTGTCATTGGTTGACCTGATTTCCATCGGAGTCCATGGAAGGATACATGTTTCCTTAACAACGAGCTCGCACGTTTCATAAAATCGCAGTGTTACGTAGTTGTGTTTTCTCCATCCTTTACTTGAAGATGACGCCCATAGCTTGTTGTGATTTGAGGAGACAAAAATCTTAACAAGCCATTTTAGCCAACCTAATTGGATCAGCGTCCAATGATTTGGTTCCAGCAGCTACACATCCTTTGTACCTGCCAAAAACAAGTGAGAATGTCTCGCTAACTCCTACGACGAACAAGTTTCAGGGTTTGACTTAGGAGCAATAAAAAATCTTCGGATCCTACCTTTGTTTCCTTAAGACTGGATAGCCCTTCTGCTGTTGCCAATTGGCATGGAATGGTGCAAGCCAGTATATTGGCTCGGTTATTAATGGAGCAGGAAGATGACTAACAAGGTACGTGGCAGATTTTGAAACAAATGATCAGGTAAAAATTGCTTGATTAGACGTGCACGTCTGACTTGAGTTGACTGGATAACTCGCGTCCTTCGGAAAGTTCGGAATTAGTACGTTCTTGGCAGTTCATGCACATCATCGGTTTGCATGATTTGATGATCCACGTGTCCGCACTCCGTTGTAACATGGTAAATACTTCATCAATGCCAAGCATTACACGTGTTAATTTGCATGCAGGTGGGGAAGCACAGAAGGGACAGAACTGAATTTGCTGCTGATAAACTCCTACAGAATCAGAAAAATGTGTCCAATAGGGTTTTAATTAAATTCCTAAATGATTTGAGCTTTACTCCTTTCATATTCGTTTATTCCAGTTGTAGATTGTTGTTTGACATACATGTGTCAATTGCTGATTCCTTATTAGGTATTAGTTTCCATCTGAATTAAAAACTTGACTATAAAAGGACATGCTTTGGACAGAAATCACCAAATGGGCTTCAATTCAGCGTCTCGCGAAAGGAAAATAATGGATGGACCAACTCATAAGCATGCTCAAAATAGAGGGATGAGATATTGAGATTTTTTTAGAAATAGGGACTAACTAATATTTTTGCCAAAAACACAAGCACTAGATTCTAATTTTGGTACGTATATTTTAAACAATTTTTTATACGGCTATACAAATGAGCATAGACGAAGAGAGAGAGTTGATCCACCGCTCTTACTTTGTTTTAAATTAGTAGTGGATTGATAAATATGATTCCAATATGATACATCACCTTATTTTCTTAGGAATAGCTTAAATGAAGTAAGTGAGTTTATTTTATATTATTTTATAATAAAATGATGTACTACCATTACGGGGATAAGTTTTTCGTAAAAATAATATCAGTGTTTCAAATGATTAACTTTAGTTTTATTTGTCATGTTTGTAGTACTAGTAAAAATACAAAGTTACATTTTTCTATTTCTTAATTTCGAACACATACATTTCTAAAATTAATTTGTTATGATGTTTGAGGTCTATTTCTTGTGACTTCGATATCTGTTGCAAAATATTATGTTTTGTTTTTTGATCACTTTAGTAAGTATTCTTATATTTATTTTGTTAAATACAAATGTGAAGTATTTAGTACATTTCTCAAATTTAAACATGTTGTAAAAAAGTATTTTAGTGTACTTATTAAGTTTTTTTTAAAGTTGATTGAGATGATGAATATGAAGCTCTTATCAAGTATATTGTTGACAATAAAATCACGTAAAGAAGTTTTTGTCCATATACATTGAAACAAAATGGATGTGTCGAACACAAACATCGACATGTTGTCAAAATTGATTTGATAATGTTAAATGATGCTAATATTCCCTTATAATATTGAACTTATGTCTTTGATGCAGCTATCTTTAAAATCAATCGTTCACCAACACCTATATTATCTCATCAGGTTACGTACGTAGTATTCTTTAAAAAGAGTACCGACTATCATCATCTCAAA